AAAACTGCAAACCATGATAAGAAAACTGCAAACTATGATAAGAAATGTGCAAACTTCAATTCTTTTAAGCTTCTATAATTCTTTTAAGCTTCTATAATTCTTTTAAGCTTCTATAATTCTTTTAAGCTTCTATAATTCTTTTAAGCTTCTATAATTCTTTTAAGCTTCTATACTTCTTTTAAGCTTCTATAATTCTTTTAAGCCTCTTCAATTCTTTTAAGATTCTATAATTCTTTTCAGCTTCTATAATTCTTTTAAGCTTGTTATTTCAAAAGGAAATTTTAGTTTTAAAAGAATCATTCAAAGAACATTTACTACTTTTGATGAATAATGTTATTTTTTTAATTCCGTAGAGAAAATAAAGGAACTCTTAATAAATATAAAAAGCCTTATTAAGGGACTAGTTCAGATCTCTTTATAGTCTTTATTAACATAAAGTATTGGCTTAATAAATATATATAAAAAGCCTTATTAAGGAACTAGTTCAGATCTCTCTATAGTCTTTATTAACATAAAGTATTGGCTTAATAAATATATATAAAAAGCCTTATTAAGGGACTAGTTCAGATCTCTTTATAGTCTTTATTAACATAAAGTATTGGCTTAATGATTGTAGGGAAAAGTCCTGTTCACTCCTGTTCACGACAAAGATTCAAAATATTTGTTTAAACATGTAAAATTGGGCTAATCAGATTTCGATAAGTTTACACACATAACTCTTATTCTCTGTACTCGAAAACACAAAAAAAAACACAAAAAGGTTTCAAGGGTATACGTTGTAAAATGGACATCGCCCTCTTTGCATAAAGGGTCACTTGAAATTACGCTTACTGTCCCTTTAAAAAGAAACAAATGTTTTTTTTCTGCTTTTTAGATCATCCCAAAATTTTTTCTAATGGTGAATATAATCCTCTTATATCTTCCATTTTCAGATTAAGTCAATATATTTCACACGATGCATGAATATTTAAATAATTGATGGATATCAATATCAATATCAATATCAATATCAGAATATATATATATCCCAGGTAAAAATTTTGCGGAAAATCTAGGAATTTCTAGGAATCTTTCCTGGGAAACCACGGAATCCGGTGAAAATGTCAACAGCAATTCCGAGGAATTTCTCGTAACCCATTCCAAGGAATTTCTTGTAACCAGGTCCGAGGAATTTCTTGTGCATCCTTTCATAATGTTCTTCCGTCAAAATTTATAATTTTGAGGTCGGTATTAAGGCTTGAGAAAAATATTATCCAGAAAACTCATTTTACAGGAAGTGAATGTAAGGCACCTTTCTGATAAAGGAATGTAGCACTTACAGGATGTCCCACGAAACATGACAGTTGATAAATAGTTATGAATGTCGTCTTCCTTATACTGTATTAGATATTAAAGGCTTTTTTGCAGTTTATTTCGTTAGAAAATCTTTTGTTTAAATATATTTTACTTTTAAATCAATTATAATAAAAAATGACTCCCAGATAATATTTTTATTATTGTCTTTGGTATCAAACAACTCAACATATTATGGAAGAATTAAGACATTCTAAACTAATTCACAAACTGTCATGTTTCGTGGGACACCCTGCACCTTAATACTTTCTATATCTAGAAACTAAATAGTGTACACCTTGGATATTTAAAACTTTGACTATTTGATCAAATTCATAGCTTAAAATTTCAAAGATATTAGATAATATGGTTTAAAAATTTGAATTTGAGGCAAGTGTTCGTTCCCTTGTAAGTATTCTCTATTTCGCCCCCCCCCTTCCAAAAAAAACTTGTAAGATTTTTTGAAGAAGTATTATGAATTAAGTACATTGAAACTTAAAAAAAAATATTTTCGACAATCTAAGAGATATTTAAAGATATAAGTTATTTGATAGAAGTATTCTCAGAAAGGAACCTAATTGTGTATAAACCTTTAATATTTTAAATTTAAAATATTTTATTTGACACAAGTCATAGAATTATTTAAGGTCTACGACATCAAGTTGCAGGGATAAAGGGATTAAAAATTATAGTTGGTGGCGAAAACTCAGTCCCTTTTGAAATTTTGAAGCTGTAGTTTTACAAGATGGGGATAGATAGATAGAGTTTATGAACAATTCTTCAAAGTAAGGTTTTTTTGAAAAAGAGAAATTTCGTACTAATATTTATCATTCCTTCCTCTCATGCTAAATTTTGCTACGAGGAATTCTAGTATTCATGAATATTTAAAACTAGAATATATATTTTTTAAATCTGAGATCTTTTTGATTTTAAACAATTTAAATAAATTTAATGTTTGAATAAAAAACTATGGTGAAATGATTAAATTCTGCTCTCAATCTTAGACAGAAATATTAGTCATTTGAGATCCATTTGAAATAACAAACTGTGATGAGAAAACTTTAACTATGATAAGAAAACTGCAAACTATGATTAATTAGAAAACTGCAAACTATGATAAGAAAACTGCAAACTATGATAAGAAAACTGTAAACCATAATAAGAAAACTGCAAACTATGATAAGAAAACTGAAAACCATGATATTAATATCTGTAAAATAACAAAATTACTAAGTCTCTCTTGGTTAAAATTCCATCAGAAAGTTAAGAATACGATATTTTATATTTTCTTCTAATGTCTCTTTATATTTGAACAGTACCTAATCTATATTTTTTGTGGATCCCATTGCATGCATTTTTAACTCTATTTCAACTAAAAAAAATACTTATTTTGTTTAGATTTTAAGCTCTCTTGAAGCTGAAACTGGTTTAGATCCTGGCTGGATAAACAATGGAGGTTTATTCATTGCAAACAATAAGGTACTTTAGTAATTCCACAACTTTTATAATTAAATCTTTCTCGGATTTTTATATTATCAGTTTACAATTAATTTATTCATTTAATACATTTGAATTGCAAAATAATTTTAGAAAAACAATTTTCTTTTTATTGGAGGATTTTAACATCATTTAAAATCAGAATATGTCGACGGGCCATAATTCTTCCCTGGGGGCATTTTGGGTCTATTCGGTTCCGTAGATTTTTTTATCCTCTTAACCCTATTCAGGCGGACGTCCCAGGGACCCCCCTGTCTTTTTCCTTTTTTAAAGCCCTTAAATTTTCAAATTTAAATATTTGTTGCAAAATCGAGAATTTTAACAAAAAAGAACAAAATCAAAATCATGCGAACTTTAATAAATTATACATTTTTGATAAGCCCTTGACCCAGCAAATATAAATGCGCAAAATTTTAAAAACTCGAGGAATAATGAAAATGTGCACATTCCCTGTAAATCCGGCTGTGCATGAATCTTTGCAAAAATTGTGCAATCTGCTTCACTTTGATAAAGTCTTTCTAATTAGAGCTATCAAATGCTGAAATCAAATGACTGAAAGTGGGTCTAAAAATAGATTTAGTCTGGTATAGGTAAAAAAAGGCAATACGCCTGAGGACTCAGGTAATAGGCAATAACGCCCCACTTTAAGCCTGAAGTATTGGGGCATAAGTAAGTTAGAAAATTAAAAAAATAGGATTAATAATCAATGAACCAAAAATTGTGAAAATTTCCAATTTTGTTATTTTGTTACACAAAATTTATCAGCTATTTCTGAGAGTAAATTTTTATAAAATTTCAACTTTCGGATGGTATTAGAATTTAGCCAGGGTGGGTGAATGGTGCAGATTAAAAAGATTTGATGTTTTCAAGAAGAAAAATCATAAAAGAGGATTTGTGTCGAATTCTAATTCCTTTTTTTTTCTAATTTTCGTCTTTTGTTTTTCCATGAATTGATTTTTTGAATCTGTCCTTTATACTTTGCAATAATATTTGCACAATTTAAACATTTTACCAATTTATATTTCCTTCATCTAAACTAAACTTTATTTTAAAAATTGTAGACTGTTGGAAACTTGTTGCAAACTTGGTACAAACAACAGGGTACTTTCTGACTTTAAAAAAAGTAAATTTTTCTGCACTTTTGTGAATAAATTTTAATCGTCAAATCGGTGAACCGATCGGGTATAAGTTTTGTGGATCCTTTCTACATGATTAATTTTCAACGTTTAGTGGGTCAAAATAAAAAAATTAATTGATGAACAAATAGAAATTCACAGACTAACAAAAAAATCAGAGACACTATTATGTTTACGATGCACAAAGAAAAAACGATTGTATTACATCCGCTCAACGTTAATACATACATATTACGATTCTTCTGACCTATACCGCACGTGGTTTCCCAGCAGCCTTTAGCTCCTGTTGGTCCGATGATTTGTATGTCGGATACACACGCAATTGAAAAAAAGTTAATGTATCCGACCTACTGTAGGTCGGTTGCACAGCATTGGTCCAGACTTAACCTAACGTCCTAACATCCGACCGATCAAACATGTGCATTCGACCAACAAAAAGTGTTCATCTCGATCTACAAAACTGTTCATCCGACCTACAGGTGTTGTAGGTCCGATGTTGCAGTAGGTCCGAAGCATTGTAGGAAGGAAGTACTGTAGGCGGAAATGCCGTTAGACCGAAGTAACTATACCGATATATCGTTGACATTAAAACCATTGTTTTAAAGCTAAACAAACTTAAAGATCTTTTTCGAAACTTAGTTTGATCAATTTAAACGATTTATCAATTTTCCATCTCTCTAATTTTAAAGTTAGAACAAACATAAACTTAAAACAAACCTAATTGGAAAATACAAAGTTTATCAAAAATGTTTATCTGAGGATTTAACATTTTTAACTTCTATTGAAGAAGTCTAAGTTCAAAAAAAGATTTTTATCCTCTTTTGAAAAGCATTATTCCGAATAGTTGAAATAAATTTACGTTTAAAATTGTATAACCGTCACACCTTTTGGCGTAGACCTTTGATATTTTAAACTTTGAATTATGTTATCAAATAATGTAAGTATAAGGAATTCAAAAAGGAATTCAACAACATTGTCAAATAATTCCGTCAGGGGTGGGGGGTTGGTGACATTTTGTTGAAAATTTAGAAAGAACGGAAGTCGTGTTTGAAAGTGAGAAAATAATTTAAGAATATATAGTTGCCTTGGGCAGGGCATCCACCCGATCTATACGCACTTAATTGCTTTGAATAAATTATGAAACGTTTTTTTAAGACGAATCCAATTTAGAAAATATGTTACATGTCATTCTCTAAAACAAAATATGCGCATGGTTGATCTAGATTTCAAAAAATGAAATAAGCGGGGGAGGAACGGTCCCTTTGTCTATACATTATTTGATGTTTTTTGTTTATGTCATGGATTAAAAAAAAATTTGAATATAAAATCAAACTGTAGTATCTAATAGTTAATTGTAAATATCATATTTAAAAACATTCTTAGCTTTCTTTTTCTAACATTTTATAAAGCAAGTTAGATGTTTATTTTAATTACATCTAAAGTGGAGTGGAATCTACAAACCGAAATTGCGTAATGATTAATTGATTGTCGTCTAGAGAACGTTGTCTTTGTATATACATTTTACACGTTATAATACGAAAAACGAAAAACGCAAATCTTAGAAACAGAAATGACATTTATATTCCTAGTGTAAAATCTATTAAAATTGGACTGCTTCCTCCTCACAATTTCCCTAAAGTATGGTATGAAATAAACGACACTTTTCTAAGCTTTCAAAAGTCAATCTTCTTTTGAAATTTAAACAGAATTTAATTGAATATTTTTATCAGCAGAACAAATGTCTTAATTTTAACACATGCTATGTTTGAAAAAGAATTGAAGAAAGCAAAGACGATTTTACAAAGAAAAGACAAAAACAAAATTAAAATGAGTAAAAGATATAATCAAGCATAAAGGATGTCAAAAGTGGCGCGAATTAAAAATATGCTTAAAAATTCCCGTTTTGCGTAGAACCTATATCTTTTTCACAACCCATAAAGCCTTTTTATTTTTTATCATTACAAATCTTCATTTTTATTTTTAAAAAGTTGTTAGTACATCGTTGAAAAATACACCACCAGTTTATTGTAAATATAATTTAAACAATAAATATTTAACTGTCCTTTTTCTTTCCTTTGCCTTTCATATTTTTTAGAATTGGGGGGAAATATTCCCACAACCTTTTTTTGGGAATTTTTTAAATATTTTCTCCTGAAACACCTGATTAAGTATATTTTGTTATATTTCATAAATAGATAGTTACTTACAATTCATTAAATCTTGTTCTATAGTGTTATAAACCTAGGAAAGACTGGAAGAGTATAAACGTCTGCATACCCTGGGTAAAGTGCTGAATATTCCCTCCTATCTACTTGATCCTGCAGAGACAAAGAAGCTATATCCTTTAATGAATGTACAGGATGTGTACGGTACATTGTACAGTCCACTGGACGGTACAATTGACCCACATGGTTTATGTACAGCTTTAAGTAGACACGCAACTAAACTTGGAGCAAAGGTAAGTTAAAAAAATGGAATTCTAAAATCTTCAGTTACTTCTTAATAAATGTTTGGCTAGAAGAATTGTATGTTGGGTGCTGTCTGTCTGTATACAAGAAACGAGGCTCAAGAAAGGTTTATGGGCCATCAAAGATGACAATTTTTTCTCGGAAAAAATGTCTGGATCAGGGGTGGAGAAATGGCATTGTTTATATACAGGGGGCGGCGGTGGCTATAACTAAGGCCTAAACCCCCTGTAAAAGTAAAAAGGCTAATTTACAGGAGGAATTTAATCCCATGCTGGAATTTAAAAAAGTTTAAGCCCCTCGGACAAATTCCTGAACTATTATTAACATTATTATTTTTATTATTAATATTATTATTATTATCATTATTGTCAAAGTATCATGTCCTGTAGGCCTTACAGGACATAATATTGCAGGCTAAGCCCAACCACTTGCACAAGTGTCTGCTTGGGTTATAGTTAATCATATCCGATTTTGACTTTTTAGGATTCAGTGTGTATGTCAGATATGTCAGTGTCATTGTAGATAGTATTTAAACACACATATATTTAAGAAAAGTTAAAAAAAACATACTCCATGATCTAACAAGCTAAGTTGCAAATCCTGATTCGTTGATTTACATTTATGCATAAAAATGATAATAGTCGTTAAGGGAAAGCTGATATGAGAAATACGAGCACTGAAAATATAAATGATTTTATTCATTGATTTGTATAGATTGTTGAGAAGTGTCCAGTCACCAATATTTTAACAAAAGAAACAGATTTCGGAAATAAGCAGGTGAGGACAATTTGTTCCTTCAGGAAAACAATGCATAGTATTTTATTGTAATTTCCGATGATTTCTCCATTTGAAGAAGGACAAGTCCGATTCACAATCATAACCTTTCCCTTTTATGAGAAAGATATCGTTCCGGACAACTTCCTAAATTGCTTCTGAAATACAATTCACTTTTTATTGAAAATATTCAATTTTCTAATAGAGCATATGGATATCTCATTCATTATTGATCAGGGTACCGTTGTAAATCAGAAATGCCTTTTTATTACTGGGGGTTCACTTGATATTGCGTCTACACTCTACAGTCCATTAAAACAAGATAATTTTTGATTACGAACAGAGTTTCCAGGAAATGTTTTTACATTTTGAAAAACAAATTTCTAAATCCTAGCTCCTAAATTATATTTATTTTATTTTCCTTAAAATAATTCCTCTGTAATCAGTTTTTGTAAGCTTGATGGTTATTTTATTGAATATATAAATTCCAAGAAATTGTAACTTTTTCCTTTAGTCGCTTTTTGGGATAAATCAATGTTTATTATTTTCTTCATATCAACCAGCATATTTTTGATTTAAACCTTGCCTACACGGTGCTTTACCTTTGCGTACTTATAAGACAGTACAATGTACACGTATTTTATATAACTAGGTACATGCTGTTGTGACAGATAATGGGATTGTACAGACAAGCTGTATAATTAACTGTACAGGAGCCTGGGCAAACTATATTTCAAATATGGTCGGAGTGCATACTCCCTTAGGTAATTACAGAGTACAGGGAGTAAACACTCCCTTAGGTGATTACAGAGTACAGGGAGTAAACACTCCCTGAGGTAATTACAGAGTACAAGGGGTACACACTCCCTTAGGTAATTACAGAGTACAGTGAGTACACACTCACTTAGGTTATTACAGAGTACAGTGAGTACAGACTCCCTTGGGTAACTAAAAGTACAGGGAGCACAAACTGCCCTAGGTAACTACAGAGTACAGGGAGTTCACACTTCCTTAGGTAACTACAGAGTACAGGGAGCACATACTCCTTTAGGTAACTACAGACTACAGGGAGTACACACTGTCCTAGGTAACTACAAAGTACAGTGAGTACACACTCCTTTAGGTAATTACAGACTACAGATAGTACACACTGTCCTAGGTAACTACAAAGTACAGTGAGTACTCACTCCTTTAGGTAACTACAGATTACAGGAAGTATACACACCATAAGGTATTTACAGAGTACAGGGAGTAAACACTTCCTAAGGGAACTATAAAGTACTTGGAGTACAAACTTCTTTAGGTAACTACAGAGTACAGGGAGCACATACTGCCTTTGGTAACTACAGAGTACAGGGAGTACACACTTTCTTAGGTCACTACAAAGTACAGGGAGTACACACTCCTTTAGGTAACTACAGAGTACACAGGGATTACACACTTCCTTATGTAATTACAGAGTACACAGGGATTACACAATCCCTTAGGTAACTACAAAGTACTGGGAGTACACACTTCCTTAGGTAACTACAAAGTACAGGGAGTAAACAATTCCTTAGGTACCTACAGAGTACAGGGAGCACATATTGCCCCAGGTAACTACAGAGTATAGGGAGTACACACTTCCGTTAGGTAACTACAAAGTACAGGGATTACACATTCCTTAGGTACCTACAGAGTACAGGGAGCACATACTGCCTCAGGTAACTACAGAGTACAGGGAGTACACACTTCCTTTAGGTAACTGCAAAGTACAGGGATTACACATTTCCTTAACTAACTACAGAGTACACAGGGATTACACACTTCATTTGGTAACTACAGAGTACAGAGACATACACTGCCTTAGGTAACTACAAATTACAGGGAGTACACACTCCTTTAGGTAACTACAGAGTACAGGGAGCACATACTGCCTTAGGTAACCACAGAGTACAGGGAGTACACACTTCCTTAGGTAATTTCAGAGTACAGGAAGTACACACTCCTTTAGGTAACCACAGAGTACAGGGAGCACACACTGCCTTAGGTAACTACAGAGTACAGGGAGTACACATTTCCTTCGGTAACTAAAAGTACAGGGAGCATACACTCCCTTAGGTAACTACAAAGTACAGGGAGTACAAACTGCCCTAGGTAACTACAGAGTACAGGGAGTACACACTTCCTTAGGTAACTACAGAGTACAGGGAGCACATACTGCCTTAGGTAACTACAGAGTACATGGAGTACACACTTCCTTAGGTAACTACAAAATAAAGGGAGTACACAATCCTTTAGGTAACTACAGAGTAAAGGGAGTACACACTGCCTTAGATAACTATACAGATCACAGCGAGCACACACTCCCTTCGGTAACTACAGAGTACACAGGGATTACACACTTCCTTAGGTAAGCAGAGTACACAAGGATTACACACTTCCTTAGGTAAGCAGAGTACAGGGAGTACACACTTCCTTAGGTAACTACAAAGTACACAGGGATTACACACTCCTTTAGGTAACTACAAAGTACACAGGGATTACACCCTACAGATTTAAAATATTGCCATCAGAGATTTTTGTTGTGTCTTCTAAATATCGAAAAACCTTAAAATTTCTTAAAAGCGAACAAACTTATTGCTTTTCATTAGACGGAAGGGGGGGGGGGTGAATGTCTGACTCGATTCGCTTATTTAAAAGTTTCCACCTTCTGTATATTTACATTAAAATATTTTCTCCTAAAACACTTAAGTTTTGTATTTTTTTTTTATATATTTCATAAATAAATAATTACTCACTTACTTACTTAAATGCTACTTTGTAAAAGTATGTATTTTTAAACTTTTTTTACGAAATCTTTGCAATTTCCTTTTAACGAGTTCAAGCAATAATGTTTATTTCAAATTTTTTGATTTAAATGAAATTAAAAAATTAAGACACAACCCCAAGAGGACTGAATACATGATGTTTAAAAGGATCCAGCTCAGGGGACGAAAGTTCCAAACCATGTTTATGTTCCAAACCGGACACGGTGTCATGTTGTTATGAACAATGTTTTAGATATTCTTCCATTGAAGCGGCGCTTAAGAGAAGTAGTTGAACTACGTTAATTAAGCAAATCTGGTTCTGCAGGGGCATAGATACATTTATCAGTTACTAACTAAAAATAACAAATAACGTAATAAAAAAATAAGTAAATGACGAAAATATTTTTTAGTTGCCATGAAGCATGCATACGTTGTGACTGAAAAAATTCCTGGAATTGAGAAAATGCCAAATGTTCGTGACCATGATCAATCAATTTATCTTAAACTTCAGGTGATCATACTCCTTCATAAGAAAATTATGATCATTTAATTTATCTTAAACTTCATGTGATCATTTTCTTTAATAATCATGATTAATCAATTTATCTTAAACTTCAGGTGATCATTTTCCTTCATAAGATAATTATGATCATGTAGAGGATGAAATCCCCGAAAGAAGATTATGAAATCTGTAAATCAGTAGTGTCGGATCTTGGAAACAGAGAGGACCTTCTTAACTTCCTCTCCTTTTATACACTCAATATTTATCATGTAATTATATCTAGAAGCAATAAATGTACTTCTAAAGTGGTGACCCCAGACAACAGACAAACCATGGCTGAAAACACATATAGACGCCGTAAGCCTATACCCCCTTTTATTTTTCGCAAACACTCCCTTTATCAGTCCCTTTAAACTTGAGCCGATAATTTTATGTCCTTTTTATATATATCTATTAATCTGTCAAACTTGCCATCTATAACTGTTTTAGGGGGATGCCCTGCAAGTTGGTGGCTATGAAGTTGATCCAGTTTTTATAAACCAGGTATTATGGATCCACTTATATACTCAGGCTACACCCATACTAAGGGTTCAATATCCTCATGGCTTTGCGTTTAGATTGTTTGGCTTTTTCTTAGATAGGATTGTTTGGCTTTATCTTAGATAGGATTGCTTGGCTTTATTTCCCCGTACAGTACTTTACACAACATGGGTTCACAGTAAACTCTAGAGGGAAAACTAACCTATACCCATCCTCCCTCATACATTTTGTAATAATTCTAATGATCATTTTTGAAAACTTGCATCATTGCATGTTGCATGTGTTGGTAATTTTGACATTTTAGAATATTTAAAAACATTTTTTCTTAAAATTTAGTTTTTTAAAACTTGTATTTTTAGATTGAAAAGGATTTTGCGTTTGGTTTGTATGAACTAGACTACGACGTATTCGGAGTTCATATTCAGGCATTGGCGCAACTAGAAGTTTATTAAAGGGGGGGGAGACATTTTAAGAAAAGTTTTAAGACTCCGTGAAGAAAGAAAGGGGGGGGGGGGTAGCCAAGAGCCCCCTCTAGTTGCGCATTCAAATTCCAGGGAGCAGTTAATCGACTTCCTTGCTTAGAGAAGGTAAAAAGAATCTCTTTTTGATATAAAAGTTATAAACAATTTTCTTACAAACTATGAGGGTAAACTATGAAGGTAAACTATGAGGGTAAACTATGAGGGTAAACCATAAGGGTAAACTACCTTTTAAAAAAAGTCAAGTAATAAGCGATATAAAATATTCTGTTTTCTCAGATCCAAAACATTCAACATATTCATGTTGTAAATCCCTGAAACAATCTCTTGTTAAGTCATGTGTATGAAATTCCTCGTGAATATCCAGAGGTGGTCATAACAGGCTGGAAGAGATAATCTGTCTTTTTCTAACATTCTTCTGAAAGTCTTATTATTTTGAATATTTAAAAAAAGGAAAAAATGATCCATCTGTGCTAGTCTGGAATAAAGAGTACAGTGTGTGGTCCTGAAAGCTTTACACCTGATCACAAACCAATAATGGGAGAGGATCCTAGAGTTCGAGGGTTCTTTCATGGAGTAGGATTTAACAGGTGAATTAAAACAGGAACTAGGTGATTATATCAATATGACGAAGACGACTTTTGATTTAAATTTTTATTTATATGAAGCTGTTGAACAGCATGGATACAGAAGAGAATCTGTCAATTAAACAAGCTTCTCTTTGATTGCTTGTAACTTTGTAATTCGAAAAAACAATAAAAACTTAAGTAATAAAGTCGTCCTCATTGTATTGATATAACTGCCTACCACTGTAGTTTTATTGTAATTATTTGTAACCGTTCATGATGAAAGAAATCATCTTATTTTTCATATTCTGTGCATTTTTGGATCAAATTCACAAAATTTTAGCGAGGTCGCTAAACTATCTACCACCGGTTCAAATCTTAAATAACCGATTCAAAGTAAAATATTCATGAGGGGTTGAGTTGGTGATTCAGAATTTAAACCGACAGAAGGTTATTCAGCGACCTCCTAAATTGATTAAATTCGGTCCAAGGACGCATATTGTTTGTTGATGTAGTGCTGGTATGATGCTGGGAGGAGGGTGTGGTGATCAGCTGGCTAAGTGGGTGGTTCATGGACGCCCGGAACTAGATATGTACGGGTAAGCTTACGTACATTTACCCAAACATGGTATAAGACTGCATGGAGAAAAACTATCTCCCTCTTTTCTTTTTGTTAAAATAGAAATAGGATTTCTGAGTAAAAATTCCTTACTTGGAATAAGATTGATTCATAAAACTGATTACAAGTGACTGGATGTAGGTTTTATTTTCTTCTCAGGAATATGAAGTAAAACCTATAAGTGGATTTTGTGTACAGCAATTTATTCATGATAAAGGACATAGTAAAAATATAAATACCATCCAATTTCCGCAATAGGAGAAAAAGGCCGTTTTGTAAAAAGCTCTGCTAGAAAACCCGAATGTTGTGTTTAAAGTCTATACATGTATAGGATATTTTGAGAACATATTGGAAAATTGCCATAAAGGGGGCAAACAAACTTAAAATTTACCTTATTAACTCAGTTGTACTTTTTGTAGCCCTGGACATCTACATTTTATAATTAGAAAGCGCTTGTTGCTAACAATAGAAAGGAGTAAACAAAAATCCTGATAGATTTGTTTGTAAGAGCTAAACCATTCTGGTTTGCTTTGTACTAAAATGAAAATGAAAATTCAAAAGAAACCAAAAACAGAACAATAGTATAATCTGATTGAATTATGACAATTTGTCCACTTAATCTTATTTATGTTATACAACTTTTATCGAATTTATAACACTTTATAATAAGCCTTTGTATTGGTAGAATATTATTGTATGATGTCTCTTGTTTCAGATATGATATTCGAAGATTTTGTCCTGAAGTTTCCAAGGATAATGTTTGGGTTAATGAAAGATCTCACGAGGCATATGCTAAGAACTACTCCATGGTATTTCCTCACGATGAACCACTGGCAGGAAGAAATATGAAGAAAGATCCCCTTTATCAGGTTCCTTCCTTACATGGATTAATAACATTACAGATAAAACCCTAGATGTCGTCTTTTCAAAGTTTAGGGTTTTTTCGTTCACCCTGAAGCAAAGGCCCAAAGGTGTTACGCGCATTCTCTCTCTGTCTTGTAATTCAACGCTGCCTGCACGGAACTCCTTTGGGCCTCTGCCTCAGGGTAATTCTGAACGAAAAAACCCTAAACTTGAAAAGACGACATCTAGAGTTCTATGTGTATCTAATAGCTGATAAGGGATAATGGATAAGGCGAGAAAAAAAACATCTTCTACCCATACTAAGCCCTAAGTAATCCTTCCATTATAATCTCCTTGATTAACTTTAAATTTACCATCAATTTACATTTTTTAGAAAAATCATTTTTCCCAGCCTCATTTTTAGTAGTGTAATTTTTGTCAGCGTCATTTTTGCCAGTGTTAGTAGCGTCATTTTTAGTAGTGTCAACTTTGTAGGTGTCAATTTTAGTAGTGTCGTTTTTGTAAGCGTAATTTTTAGCAGTGTCAGTCAGCGTCCTTTTTAGTACCGTCATTTTTGTCAGCGTCATTTTTAGTAGTGTAATTTTTGTCAGTGTCGTTTTTAGTAGCGTCATTTTTGTCAGCGTCATTTTTGCCAGTGTTAGTAGCGTCATTTTTAGTAGTGTCAATTTTGTAGGTGTCAGTTTTAGTAGTGTCGTTTTTGAAAGCGTCATTTTCAGAAGCGTCATTTTTGCAGGCGTCAAATTTAGCAGCGTCATTTTTGACAGCGTCAGTTTTAGTAGCTTTATTTTGGTTATTGGAATTTATTCTATATTTAATCATCCCCCATCACATTTTGTAGGGTAAGGTTATATTTACTCTCCCATTTTTTTTAATAAGCAATAAAAAACACATTAAAAGAACTAAAAATGTAATTATTACAGATTTTTTTTTACAGAGAAATGTCTGATCCACAACATTAAACTTAATTAAGCGTTGTTCCATAAAGGCAAAACAAAGACCAATATTATTAAAACTGAAAAATTAATAAATTTCACTTTTGAAAATAAACTCTTACACATCCTGGTAAGAATGATAGTTAAAAAAGAAATAAATGTTTGTACGCAGTCTGGCAATTATGTACATAATATTATGAATACTTCATACACCATATACATACATGATATATTAGATCATTCAAATAAGCCTGGTATATTAGGGCACAGTAAAAATGGTAAAGAACATGAATATTTAGTTTTTCTTGTTCCTAGCTAAAAAAAGTTGAAAGGAACTGAATTCATTCCGCAAAATTCGCAGTCGTGATTTTAAATTTAAATATGGATAGATTGTTTTCACTTTTTTGGAAAAACTATTGTTTTGTTTTAAAAACGACGAAGAAAAAACGAAAAGCGAACGGTCGTTTTTCAAAACGTGGTAAAAACCAAGGAGATATTGAATAGAAGGAGGGGGCGATAGGGTTTCCGTACACTTTGCTGTGACGTTTTTGGTATTATTTGTGTTATTGTTTACAATCTTTATTATTGTTGTTACGCAAAAACTAATTCTTCAGCAGTCCAAAAACGTCACAGCAAAGTGTACGGAAACCCTATCGCCCCTTCCTTCTCTTCAATGTCTCCTTGGTAAAAACCATCCAAGACAACATTCATAAACTGTTTATACTGAAATAATAGAAATTGATTCTCATAAAACTCAGATTTTTTTATCGAAAACGATAGTTTTTTAGTAAACGAGAGTTTTTTAAAAAAACGATCGTTTTCGTTTTTAAAAGTTCACAATGAGTTGTTCGTTTAAAAAAAAACGATTTTTTAATGAAACGACCATTTTTAGAAAACGCAAAATCGATATGAAAAACTTAAATTTTTTCGATTTTAATTTTACCAAACAGAAATGTGTTCAAACCTTTTTATTATATTTATTTTGTTGACTGAGCAGTGAGCCCTACTGGTTTTATTATATTGAAGTAATGGTCTCTAGAGTAAACAAGAACTTTTCTTAGAATGATCATTAAGAAGTTACTTGAGGAATATTATCATTGTTTTCTTTCTTTGGTTTGTTAGACAGCGTCTGCTAGGAAATTATTATTATTATCAGAATACAATTATTTTCATTCACTCATTTAACCCTATTCCTGCTGCTTGCACAAGTGTCTGCTTGGGTTATAGTTAATCTAAGAGCTTTCTAATGATGTATCATTTGTCATATTTGGACATAAAACATGGGATTTAGAGGGGGGGGGCGTCAAATTGACCCCCCCTAGCGTATCCTGGTTTTCAAGTACCCCAGCAGGGATAGGGTTAATTGATTTCAAGATTTTTTCATCAAATATTTTTCTCCTTCTCTTTTTAACGTTTTTTTTATATTTCGAATTTCAAAAAGACAAAATGAAGTGCGAAAAATAAAAAAATATATTCAAATCCTGAATGCAAAACATTTTTGGAAAAGGACTAAATAGTTTAATGAGACAATTGAACTGATTCTACTTAATCTGATACTTTAACTGATAATTTTCTTTATATTTCCTAAATCTGTACAGCATTCTTAGTTGGAAATATCAAGGTTATATCACATAAGTTACAGAGATCAAAGAGTTTAGCTGGAGGCTGGTTGTTTTTAGCAAATACGTTCAGGTTCTGCAGGTGGCCGGTTGTGTATAGTTAATATAATCAGGTTCTGCTGGAGGCTGGTTGTGTATAGTTTATATGTTCAGGTTCTGCTGGAGGCTGGTTGTGTATAGTTTATATGTTCAGGTTCTGCTGAAGGCTGGTTGTGTATAGTTTTTTATGTTTAGGTTCTGCTGGAGGCTGGTTGCGTATAGTTTATATGTTCAGGTCTGCTGAAGGCTGGTTGTGTATAGCATATGTGTACAAGTTCTGCTGGAGGTTGGTTTTGGATAGCATATATGTTCAGGTTCTGCTGGAGGCTGGTGGAGGCTGGTTGTGTATAGTTTATATGTTTAGGTTCTCTGGAGGCTGGTTGTGTTACTGTGTATAGTATATGTTCAGGTTCTGCTGGAGGTTGATTGTGTATAGTTTATGTTCAGGTTCTGCTGGAGGCTGGTTGTGTATAGTTTATATGTTCAGGTTCTGCTGGAGGTTGGTTTTGTATAGTTTATATGTTCAGGTTCTGCTGGAGGCTGGTTGTGTTACTGTGTATAGTATATGTTCAGGTTCTGCAGGAGGTTGATTGTGTATAGTTTATGTTCAGGTTCTGCTGGAGGCTGGTTGTGTATAGTATATATGTTCAGATTCTGCTGGTGGCTGGTTGTGTGTATCAGGAAAGGTTTGGATTCTGCTAAAGGCTGATTGTGTGTAGTTTATATGTTCAGGTTCTGCTGCAGGCTGGTTGTGTATAGTTATATGTTCAGGTTCTGCTGGAGGCTGGTTGTGTATAGTTTATATGTTCAGGTTCTGTTGAAGGCTGGATGTGTATAGTTTATATGTTCAGGTTCTGCTGGAGGCTGGTTGTGTATAGTTTATATGTTCAGGTTCTGTTGAAGGCTGGTTGTGTATAGTTTATATGTTCAGGTTCTGCTGAAGGCTGGTTGTGTATAGTATATATGTTCAGGTTCTACTGGAGGCTGGTTGTGTTACTGTGTATTGTATATGTTCAGGTTCTGCTGGAGGCTGGTTGTTTATAGTATATGTTCAGGTTCTGCTGAAGGCTGGCTGTGTATAGTATATGTGTTCAGGTTCTGCTGGAGGCTGGTTGTGTATAGTTCATATGTTCAGGTGCTGCTGGAGGCTGGGTGTGTAAAGTATATATTCAGGTTCTGCTGGAGGCTGGTTGTGTATAGTATATATGTTCAGGTTCTGCTGGAGGCTGGTTGTGTATAGTATATGTTCAGGTTCTGTTGGAGGCTGGTTGTGTATAGTATATATTCAGGTTCTGCTGGAGGCTTGTTGTGTATAGTTTATGTTCAGGTTCTGTTGGAGGCTGGTTGTGTATAGTATATATTCAGGTTCTGCTGGAGGCTGGTTGTGTATAGTTTATATGTTCAGGTTCTGCTGGAGGCTGGTTGTGTATAGTTTATATGTTCAGGTTCTGTTAAAGGCTGGTTGTGTATAGTATATATATTCAGGTTCTGCTGGAGGCTGGTTGTTTATAGTATATATTCAGGTTCTACTGGAGGCTGTTTGTGTATAGTATATGTTCAGGTTCTGCTGGAGGCTGGTTGTGTATAGTATATGTTCAGGTTCTTTTGGAGGCTGGTTGTGTGTATCAGGAAAGGTTTGGATGGGAGCGCCCAGGATGGTTTACTCATCATCAACCCTCTCCACCTCTACAATATGATTGGTACGGAGCGTATGATCACAAAATACATGAGACAGATATTTACAAGGATCATCTGCAGTTAGACTACACTTTTGATCACCCTGGGATACAAGATAATGTAAGTTTAAAAGAGATAACAACTCATTATTTGAGTATTAAAAATAAAACCTTGAATGCAATATTTTAATACTAGGCTTTTAGGGCGCTTCGCGCCCATCTTCTATTTAAATTGTGAACATGTTATTTTTTTTTACATTTTAAAACAGAGAAGAAAAAAATTTTGCGGATTTTAAAAAAAAAATTCGCGGATTTTCAAGGATTTAAATTTTTTTACAAAATCTAAAACCTTCAAAACACATTTTTAAATTTTTTTTATCATTCATAAACCTTCCCTGTGGTCACGTGATGTCCCACAAAAAATTTGGGCCCGATTGGTTCAGCCGTTTTGACGTTTATTGGATACAAACAGACAAGACAGACAAGCCAAATTTATATAAGGATTTGTTTTAAAACATTTTCTCATTATTTCTGACTTACTATTTTTTCGTTTTCGTGAGAGGACGCTTAACCTTTTTTATGAAATGCATAATAAAATTTCTCGTTCTGCACACTTCTAGCATACAAAAATGTCAAAGTTTTATATTCTATTATTCATAAAAGGTACAATCAAGTTCTAAAAATATTTCGGGTAGTAAAAGGAAAAAAAATACATTTGAACATTCCATTTTAATTTTCAGTAAAGATTTTTTGTATAGATATTAACCAAAATATTAGACTGAACAGTTTTTTTATTTGTATGTATATAACATAAACTTAAATTTTGGGAAAGTCAATACACACTGTTAACTTTTTTCCAATAACAAATAACAAAAACCTAAAGTCATCAGAATTTATAATGTTGAAAAATACGCACAATATGTCATTTAATAAATAAATTTTTGTAAACATTCTCAACAATAAAAGTTATATTTCACAACAAAAAATGTGTTGAAACATGGTTTGTAGAAAATGTAACAAAGTAAACACATAAAATCCACCAAGAAATCATCATGAATCCACTAAAATTGGATCACTTCATTATTAGATCAACAAATTTTGACATCTGCAAAGAGTTTTGAGTTTATTTTATCATCAAAATCCTAGAAAACCAAGAACATTTTTCACTCTGGATCAAAGTAATTAATGATTTGAAAAATAGGGCTGCAGTTGTGGAGAAAGTAAGAAAAAAGTTAAAAAAATAAATTCTATCTAAAACATTGCAGTCAATTTCGGACAATACTCATATTTTTTGTTACTTTGCAAGTGGTTCATCAAATATATAGAGCAGAATTATGTCTTGGACAATATATTATTAAATGAACACATACAAGTCTAAAATCTGAATTCTTTAGGGATAATTTAAAAATATCCATATACATATTTGAACAATTTTAGATCCACAAGACTAAAATATATTGCACAGCATGATTTACTATTTACTAAAAATCAAACTGTAGTAATGCAGCATGGTCTGTAGAATAATATTTATCTTATACTCGCTCGAGTGTCCCTAAATTTTGAAAAAAGGTAAAAATTGAAAATCTTACTAAAAATTGAAAGAAGTATAGCTGGGCACATTCTGACTTTTAATTATCTAATTATTGGAAGAAACAGGCTTTTAACCTTTTGCTTAATTTTCAGTGGAGAAAACATATTTGTTTGATAAACAAGTTATTGATCTTTGACAATTCGGATTTTTAACGGCATTTACAGAGGATATTCATAAGATTAGATTACACCATCACTGTAAGCATTATTCATTAACTCTCAATAACGGAATAGCTTCTATTATTTGAAAGAACGTTACCCAGCCCTACGAATAAGCGGCTTTAGTAAGAGTATTTTATCACATTTTTTTTAAGATTCGACATGAGTGTCTTGCAACTAGAACAACAGCTGGTGTTTTCAACATGTCATATTTTGGAAAATTTTATTTGACAGGACCAGGTAATTTTTTTGTTCATTTTTAAATTTACTTAGCAAATGTTGCTTAATTTTTTACTTGCAATTAATATTTATTTCTCTAGATGCACAGGCTGCCGCCAACTGGATATTTACCGGAAATATGGATTGTCCTCCTGGGCGCACAGTGTACACGTGTATGCTGAACAAAATGGCGGGAATAGAAGCAGATCTTACAGTGAGCGTGCTAGAGAGCGGAGAGGGAGGGAGTGTAGACCCTAAGTTCACTGGAACCGGTTTTTATATTGCGGCAGCTGGAGGAGCAGCATATCAGAATCTATCACACATTCAGAAAACTGTTCAGGTATTGCATTTGCAACAACAAAAGTTTTAACTGTATAGAAAAATGATCAAAGGCACTGGAAGCGAAGTTTTAAGCGACCCTCCATACAAAGATGGCTAAGCCCAATTTCAAATTTACCCGTCGTTTTGCTCGTTTTAATTTCAAATATTTCTCCAAAACTTCTTATATAAGCAAGTAAATGCTTAAGTCACTTTTGCAATGAAACCTGCAGATGGAAATAAACAGCTTAAAGAAACAAAAACATTGATATCTTATTCAAAGCTTTTAAGCTGTTAGCGTTGTAAATAGAGCATTGTTATCTTTACATGCAAAAATTTACAATTTATTCCTAAAGTAAAATAAAAATGATACTTTGCCAGGATGCAGGGTTCGATGTTAACATTACTGATAAATCAAGAGAAATGGGAATGCTATCAATTCAGGGCCCTAGATCAAGAGATATTTTATCCAGGTATAATTAAATCAAAAATATATCAAGCACAAAATGTATTAGCAACAAATAGCAAAGATTTTTGTCAAAAAAGAATGGTGCAAACTGTTAAGTGCCCTGTAAGCATTAGTGATGGGTTATTAAATTGGACTTCGTTATTGACAAAATTGGTCAAATTGTTATTTTGTTTCAGACAACAATCGATTCAATTTTAGCAATTCTTTTTAATCACATTAATTTACCTTCCTTATGTAAGGTTAACCTCTGAGCCCCTGGATAATCTAAGTTTCCCTTTTTCTACTCATAAAATGATCACCGTGGCTGGTCATAGAGTTAGAGCAATGAGAGTTAGGTAAGCTTAACCAATGACAACCCGGCATTTTAGAACTTATTTCCGTCCAGTTTTAATTATTATAATAAATTATTAGCTAACAGACAATGTCCAATGTAACTATTAACAACAGAGAATGTACAGTGTAATTATTAACAACAGACAATGTCCGGTGTAATTATTAACTAACAGAAATGTCCAGTGTAAAAAATTAGCTAAAAGACAATAATTGGTGTATATATTAACTAACAGACAATGTCCAGTATAATTATTAACTAACAGACAATGTCCAGTGTAATTATTAACTAACAGACAATGTCAAGTTTAAATATTAACTAAAAGACAATGTCCAGTATAATTATTAACTAACAGAAAATGTCCAGTGTAATTATTAGCTAACAGACAATGACCAGTGTAATTATTAGCTAACAGACAATGTCAAGTTTAAATATTAACTAAAAGACAATGTCCAGTATAATTATTAACTAACAGACAATGTCAAGTTTAATTATTAACTAACAGAAAATGTCCAGTGTAATTATTAGCTAACAGACAATGTCCAGTGTAAATATTAACTAACAGACAATGCCCAGTGTAATTATTGACTAATAGACAATGCCCAGTGTAATTATTAACTAATAGACAATGCCCAGTGTAATTATTAGCTAACAGACAATGTTCAGTGTAATTATTAACTAACAGACAATGTCCAATGTAATTATTAGCTAACAGAAAATGTCCATTGTAATAATTGACTAACAAACATTGTCAGTGTAAATATTACCTAACAGACAATGTCCATTGTAATTATTAACTAACAAACATTGTCATTGTAAAGACATGATTATATTTTCTTAAAAAGAACATCTTTAAAGATTATCCTTTATTTAACAACATGCAAAATATAGTGTAAAACTCCCTCGTTAAAAATATTTTATGTAAGCAACTTATGTATTCAACTTTTAAAACAATCCTGAACAAAAACTTCTTGTTATTTCACTTTCAGGAACATGAAGAGAATAAAAAAAATCTTATATAAAAAGACTAAATAAATGTGCAATATACAATGTACAAGTATTTTCTATATTTTCATTAGTCAGGCCTTTATCCCCTGTTGGCCAATTACAAAGTGCTGTTCATCAATTTTAAGTGATAATTCTCCCAAGACCGTAAAAGATCATTTTTTTAGTTAAAAATCAGCTAATACACCTAGAGAATCGGATTTGTAGACCAGATTTGATTTTTTTCTAATTCAGACGATTCTTTGCTAATTTTTGTTTAGTTTTGTGGGAGAACTAGGATGGGAGTTACATATTCCTAGTTCTAGCTGTATACCTGTATATCAGGCTATTATGGAGGCCGGCCAACCTGCAGGAATAGTCAATGCAGGATACAGGGCCCTAGACTCACTCAGGTGTTCTATCTATTTAATCATATATCTATCTATCTATCTATCTATCTATTTATCTATCTATCTATCTATCTATCAATCTATCTCTTTATCTATCTATCAATCTAATTATCTATTTATCTATCTATCCATTTATCTATTTATATATCTATTTATCTATATATCTATCTATCTATTTATCTATCTATCTATCTATCTATCTATCTATCTATCTATCTATCTATCTATCTATCTATCTATCTATTTATCTATCTAGTATAGAGAAAGGGTATCCCCACTGGCACCAGGAGCTGCGACTAGATGATAATCCTGCTGAAGCAGGTCTTCTCTTTACTTGTAAACTCAAGACTAATCAACAGTTTCTTGGAAGAGATAAACTACAGGTTTCTTCTATTTATATACTTTGCTTGTCCCTTTGTCTGTTTGTTTACAGATGCTCAGAATTACAAAATTGAGTTTCCAGAAATTTTTGATTCAAGTAAAATTTTGAAAAATCCATGAAAAAAATAATAATAAATATACGTGTAATAAACACAGTACCAAATCCCATAGTTATTCATTTGATCGTACCCGTGTAAACTTTAAGTCATCAGGCCATCTGGTAAACAAACTAGTCAAAACTGAAAGGGAAAGGATCGGGTCTCATAACCCCTCTGTGAGATTCTCCCCATCCTAAATCATTTTAAAATTTGTTCGTCCTCGTGTGTCTGTTGCTGGCTAATCGTTGACTTTTGAAAATGTTTAGGCTAAGTTATTTTGTCTCTTTTTGGTTAATTAAAAGTTAGTCTTTTGAATTTAAAAAGCTAGTCTAAATATACATCAATTTATCATTGAGCTATCCGTGGATTAATGTCTATAAAAAGAGTCTTAAAAGCTACTTTAAACATTCTGAGAGAAAATTCAGCGCATTTTCTTAATGAAATTATCTATTTTAAAAAAGTAAAAGTTATTTTTAAACCCAAATCTTCACTTCTAAAATATTAACTTTTATCAAGAAAATTGAATCTTAAATTTCTTACTTTTTTCATTTTACGGAAAACATTGAGAAACACCTAGCAGTAAACATAGAAACTGAAAGACGCCAGTTCATTCTCCTGTCTAATATTTGACCTAACGCACAAATGAACAAATGAACTTTATGTTTTAAGTCAATAGAGCTGGGAACTTTAGAATGGTGAATATCGGGATTAATGCTTGATCCACTGTTTTTCTAAATCTCCAGATTATATATTGCTTGTTGTCCTCAGATTAATTAACAGATCGGGATTAAGGATATCACATTCTGAAGTTTTCAGCTCAGCTTGTATATTTAACAAACACTCAATTTAACAGACAGTAAACTCATATCTAAATTTCTAAACAAGTGTTTTGGTAATACATCCATGTGTTAATTTTACAGGATGTATTGAGGTATAACTTTTGTTTGCATATTAATTTTAAAAATATCAAATTACGGGAGATTCTCAATCTTTGACACGTGAGCTAGAACAATTTAAAAGGACTAACTAGATATATTACGTTATACATTGTCTGTAAAAGGACTAACTAGATATATTACGTTATACATTGTCTGTAAAAGGACTAACTA